CACAATAACATCACCAACAATGAAAACTAAAATACCAGGAACTAGCAATCACTGGCCATTAATATCCCTTAATATGAATGGACTCAGCTCACCTAGAAAAAGACACAGGCTAACAGATTGGATACAAAAACAGAATCCACCCTTCCTGCTGCATTAAAGAAATACACCTCAACTTCAAAGACAGACATCGTCTCAAAATAAAGGGTTGAGAAAAAATTTTCCAAATGGACCTAAGAAACAAGCTGGTGTAGCTAACCTAATATCTAACAAAACAGACTTCAAACTAAAATAAATCAAAAGAGATAAAGAAGGACATTTCATAGTAGTCACAGAAAAAGAACCATCAAGAAGAAATCTCAATATTAAATATCTATGCCCCCCAAATACAAGGGCACCCTGATATGTAAAAGAAACACTTCTAAAGTTTAAATCACACATTAAACCCCACACACTAATAGTGGGAGACTTCAACAACCAACTCTCACCAATAGACAGGTCAGTAAAACAGAAATAAGGGAACTAACAGATGTTATGACTCAAATGGACTTAAAAGACATCTATAGACCAGTCCATACAAACATAAAAGAATATGCCTTCTTCTTAGAACCTCATGGAACCTTTTCTTTTCTTTTTTTTTTTTTTTTGGAAGTGATCTGTGCATTATATTTATTTATTTATTTATTTATTTATTTATTAAAGATTTCTGTCTCTTCCCCACCGCCGCCTCCCCTATCCCTCCCCCTCCCCCAACCAAGTCCCCCTCCCTCATCAGCCCAAAGAGCAATCAGGGTTCCCTGCCATGTGGGAAGTCCAAGGACCACCCACCTCCATCCAGGTCTAGTAAGGTGAGCATCCAAACTGCCTAGGCTCCCACAAAACCAATAGGTGCAGTAGGATCAAAAACCCATTGCCATTGTTCTTGAGGTCTCAGTAGTCCTCATTGTCTGCTATATTCAGCGAGACCGGTTTTAACCCAGGCTTTTTCAGACCCTGGCCAGCTGGCCTTGGTGAGTTCCTTCATGGAACCTTTTCAAAAATTGATCACATACTAGATAACAAAGCAAACCTCGCAGGTACAAAAAACTGGAATAACCCCATGTATCTTATAGGATCACCTTGGTTTAAAATTAGAATCCATCAGCAACACTAATTACAGAAAACCTATAAACATATAGAAATTAAACAATATTCACCTGAATGACCAGTGAGTTAAGGAAGAAACAAAGACTTACTAAAATTCAATGAAAATGAACACACAACATACCCACATTTATGGGACACAATGAAAGCAATGCTAAGAGGAAGTTCATAGCACTAAATGCCTACATAATGATGCTGGGAAAATCCCACACTAGTGAGTTAACAGAACACCTGAAAACTATAGAACAAAAGGAAGCAAACTCACCCAAGAGAACTAGACAGCAGGGGATAATAAAATTAAGACCTGAAATAAACAACACAGAAACAAACAAAAAAAAATAGAGAATCAATGAGACAAAGAGTTGGTTCTTTGAGAAAATTAGCAAAATAGAAAAAACTTTTATCCAAACTAATCAAAAGGCAGAGAGAGAATATCCAAGATAACAAAATCATAAATGAAAAGAGATACACAACAACAGACATGGAAAAAATCCAGAAAATCATTAGGTCATATTTCAAAAATATGTGCTGCAAAATATTGGAAAACTTAAAGAAAATGGACAATTTTCTGGATAAATATCACTAACAAAATAAATCAAGACCACATAAGCAAATTAAATAGACCTAAAACTTCTAAAAAAAAAAAAGTCATCAAAAGTCAGCCAACCAAAAAAGCGCAGGATCAGATGGATTCAGCATAGCATTCTACAAAACTTTCAAATAAGAACTAATACCAATATTCCTCAAATTGTTCCATACAATAGAAACAAAAGGAACATTGCCAAACTCTTTTCATGAGGCTATACTTACTCTGATACCCAACCAACACAAAAGCATTACTAAGAAACAGAATTACAGACCAATCTCACCCATGAACACTGACACAAAAATATTCAATAAATCACTGCCAAACCGAATCCAAGAATGCATCAGAAAAATCATCTACCATGATCAAGTCATCTTAATCCCAGAGAAGCAGTGATGGTTCAACATACAAAAATCTGTCAATGTACTCTACCATAAAAACAAACTGAAAAAAAAACTGTCATGATCATATCATTAGATGCTGAAAAAGTCTTTGACAGAATACAACATCCCTTCATGATAAAGGTCTTGGAGAGAGCGGGGATACAAGGTACATGCCTAAACATAAACATAATAAAGCAAACCAACAGCCAACAAAAAACTAAATGATAAAAAAAAAAAAACTCACAGCAATCCCAGTGAAATCAGGTACAAGATAAGGTTGTCCACTCTTTCCATATTTATTCAATATAGTTCTTGAGGTTCTAAGCCAGAGCAATGACACAACAAAAGGAGATCAAGGGGATATAAATCAGAAAGGAAGATCAAACTCTCACTATTTGCTGATGATATGATAGTTTACATAAACAATCCCAAAAATTCTACCAAGGAACTTCTACAACTCATAATCACCTTTAGTAATGTAGCAGGATACAAGATTAACTCAAAAAACTCAGTAGCCCTCCTGTACACATGATAAATGGGCTGAGAAAGAAACCAGAGAAACATCACTCTTCACAATAGCCACAAATAGCATAAAATATCTTGTAGTAACTCTAACCTAACAAGTGGAAGACTTGCATGACAAAAACTTTAAATCCTTCAAAGAAATTGAAGAAGACACCGGAAAGTGGAAAGATCTTCCATGTTCTTGAATAGATAGAATTAACATAGTAAAAATGTCAATCTTACCAAAAGCAATCTACAGATTCAATATAATGCCCATCAAAAGCGCAACAAAATTGTTCAGACTTTGAAAGAAGAATACTCAACTTCATATGGAAAAGCATATAAATCCAGGATAGCAGAAACAGTCCTGTACAATAAAGGAATTTCTGGAGGTATCATAATACTTAACTTCAAACTCTACTACAGAGCTACAGTACTGAAAACAGCTTGGTATTGGCATAAAAACAGACACAAGGACCAATGGAACTGAATTGAAGACCCAGATATCAACCCACACACCTGTGAATACCCGATTTTTGACAAAGAACCAAAAACTATAAAACAGAAATAGGAAGCACATTTAAAAAATGGTGCCGGCATAACTGGATATCAACACGTAGGATAGTTTCTTGCTATGTACAAAACTCAAGTCCAAATGGATCAAAGACCTTAACATAAAATCAACCACACTGAACCTCATAGAAGAGAAAGTGTTAAGTACACTTGAACTCAATGGCACAGGAGACCACTTCCTAAATATAACCCAGAAGCACAGACACTGAGAGAAACAATAAATGGGACCTCCTGTAACTGAGAAGCTTCTGTAAAGCAAAGGACATGGTCAACAAGACAAAACGCCAGCCTACAGAACGAGAAAAGATCTTCACCAACCCCATATCAGACAAAGGGCTGATCTCCAAAATATACAAAGAACTCAAGAAATTGGTCATCAAAAGAACAAATAATCCAATTAAAAATAATGGGGTACAGATCTAAACAGAGAACTCTCAACAGAGGAATCTAAAATGGCTGAAAGACACTTAAGAAAATATTCAACATCCTTAGCCACCAGAGAAATGCAAATCAAAAAAACTCTGAGATTCCATCTTATACCTGTAAGAATGGCCAAGATCCAAAACACTAATGAAAACTTATGCTAGAGAGAATGTGAGGTAAAGGGAACACTCCTGCATTGCTGGTGCAAGTACAAACTGGTACAGCTCCTTTGGATATCAGTATGGCAATTTCTCAGAAAATTAGGAAACAACCTTCCTCAAGACTCAGTAATATCACTGTTGGGTATATACCCAAATGGTGCTCAATCGTACCACAAGGACATGTGCCCAACTGTGTTCATAGCAGCTTTGTTTATCATAGCCTGAACCTGGAAACAACATAAATGCTCTTCAACTGAAGAATGGATAAGGAAACTGTGGTGCATTTACACAATAGAGTACTACACAGCAGAAAAAAATATGAAATCTTGAAATTTGTGGGGAAATGGATGGTTATAGAAAACATCATATTGAGTGATAAAGACAAATATAGATACTCATTCCATAAGTGGCTTTTAGACATAAAGCAAAGACAAACCAAACTAAAATTCACAATCCCAGAAAACCTAGACAACAACGAGGACCCTAAGAGAGATATATATGGGTCTAACCTACATGGGAAGTAGAAAAAGACAAGATCTCCTAAGTAAACTGGGAGCATTGGGACCAAGGGAGGGGATGAAGGAAAGGGGAGAGGAAAAAAGGGAAGTGAAGAAAAAATATATAGCTCAATAAAAACAATATAAAAATGATTTGGCCTGCTGTATGCCAGCCACCATGCACTCTTCTTTAGAGATTAGAAGTTGCTTATCAGAATAAGATAATGCACCTGCTAGAACTTCCTCCCCAAAACAGTGCACAGAGGTGGTTAGATGACTGTACTGCTCTTTCTTCCACCTTTTGACTATATTTAGTGTATATGCTGGCTGAGAAATAAACTCAGGCTGCTTTCTATTGACCTTTCATCCTCTCAGTCTAACCTATGATTCTGTCTTCATTTCTCTTAATCTAACATTTCCTCAGCCTCAGCACCCCTCTGAGGGCACTCCCAGCTTATTTCTGTGACAAAAATAAAATAAATTCTTTGTCTTTGTAGGGTATGGTGTTATAACAAGGTGTTATCACATTGAAGACATTTGTAGGGTTTCTCTCCACTGTGTATTCTTTTATTTACTCAGATATAACTGTGTTATGAAAAGACTTTATCACATTGATTACATTTGTAGAGTTTCTTTCCAGTATGTATAATTTTATGCATTTGAAGAATAGAGTGACTTGCAAAGGCTTTGCAACATTGATTTCATCTGCAAGGCTTCTCTCCAGTAAGTGTTATTCTAAGTTCTCAGAGATTACTGTGCTGTGCAAAGGCTTTATCACATAGATTACGCTCATACAGCTTCTTGCCAGTGTTTATTCTTTCCTGATATTGAAGACTACAGAAATATGCAAAGGCCTCACCATATCAAATACATTCAAAAAGTTTCTCTTCAGTACTAACTCTTTCATGGTAGAGAAGACTAGAGAAATGTACAAAGGTTTTACCATATTAAATATATCCATATGGTATTTCTTAGGCATGAATTCTTTCATGCTTTTGAAGGTGAGATCTATGTGCAAAGGCTTTACTACACTGACTACATTTGTATGGTTTCTCTCTGCTATGTGTTCTCTCGTGTACTTTGGCATGACCTTGTTGTGAAAAGACCTTATCACATTGATTACATTTATAGGGTTTCTCTCCACTATGTATTCTTTTATGTATCTGGAAATGACTTTGTCGTGAGAAGGCTTTATCACATTGGTTACATTTGTAGGGTTTCTCTCCAGTATGTGTTTTTTTATGGTTTTGAAGACTTTTATTATATGCAAAGGCTTTATCACATTGATAACATTTATAGGGTCTCTCCCCACTATGTGTTCTTTTATGCTCTTGAAGACTACTACTATATGCAAAGACTTTATCACATTGATCACACTTGTAGGGTTTCTCTCTACTGTGTGTTTTCTTATGGATTCTCAGACAACCCTGTAGTGAAAAGGCTTTATTACATTGATTACATTTGTAGGGTTTCTCTCCAGTATGCGTTCTTTTATGGTTTTGAAGACTTTCAGGATGTGCAAAGGTTTTATCACATTGATTACATTTGTAGGGTTTTTCTCCAGTATGTGTTCTTTTATGCTTTAGAAGACTACTGGGATACACAAAGGCTTTATCACATTGATGACATTTGTAGGCTTTCTCACCAGTATGTTTTCTTTTATGTATTTGAAGATGACTGTGATTGGCAAAGCTTTTACCACATTGAGTACATTCACAAAGTTTCTCTCCAGCATGAGTTCTTTTCTGCATTTGGAGATAACTATTACGTGGGAAGTCTTTATCATGCTGAATATATCCAGAGAGTTCCTCTCCAGTGTGAAGTTTTTCATGCCTGTGAAGAAAAATGTGATATTTAAATGCTTTACCACATTTATTACATTGATGAATCATTTTTGTCCTATAAATCCATTTTGCAATTTGGTCTAATTTAAAGAAGATTTAGATCTTAAAGTTTTTCACTTCATTCATATCCATGATGTTCCCCTTCATTATGGGTTATTTTGCATTAAAGATATCTGCGAAGGTAGGATTCTTATTTAACACAGTACACTGTGGTATTCTGAATAGTTATGCCCCCCCCCCAGACTTATGTGTTGGAATGCTTGGCCCATAGGTAGTGGCACTATTAGAATATGTGCTCTTGTTGGAGTAGTTGTGACCTAGTTGGAGGAAGTGTGTCACTGTGGATGAAGACTATGCTCAGGATGTCACACAGTCTGCTTCTGCCACCTGCAGATGAATATGTGAACTTTCCTCCACCTTCCCAGTACCATGTATGCCTGCATGCCACCATGTCTCCAGCCATAATCATAATGGACTAAGTCTCTGAAGCTAAGGCAGCCACAATTAAATATTTTCACTTATAAGAGTTGCTCTGGTCATAGTTTCTCTTTACAGCAATAAACACCCTAAAAAAGAGACTCATATTTATAGCAACATTTTTCTACATAAGGTTTCCCATATATTTCAAGAGAACTGGAAAAACTCAAAACACATTCATAAATTTTTCTATAGGGTGAGTCATACTACATTTTCAAAGTTAACCAGGACAAAAAGAAGAGTTTCCACATTCCTAGTGCTCATAGGAATTTTCAGCAGCATGAATTTGCTGTAAACTTATATCACATTGAAAAAGCATACTCAAATTGGGGACTACTACATGTTCTAATTGTTCTGGGAGACAGAGAGATGTTGCTTCTTTCTATATCCCTCTGCTCACATGGTTTATTTCCATTGTGACATATGATACATCTAGTAAAGAAACCAATAGGTTTCCAGATCATATTTAGATGGTTTGACTTTTTGCTTCTCATACTTATCTGTATAGTGACTAAAGTTTCTGCAGAAGAACATTTTTGACTCTCAGACACTGTCATTCTCACTAAACTTAGCCAAGTCAGTAAATGTATATAAGTATCGTTAGCTTACTCTGGATTATTTGCTTTTTAGAAGATTTTTGAACATACATTTATCACCTATTTAAGGTGTATCTGTTTCACAGTATCTTTGTATTAGGAAACTAAACAGATTGGAAGTTCTCTGGCATAGCTCACATGATGCCATGATTCAAATGGTGATATCTGTTAAGGCATTGTTTCCTTGTCTTCTTATAAAAGGAATGCCTTGCAAACACAAATTAACTAGACATTGAGGTAGATGGTTTGGTGCTAATTTGGTTATCAATACACCTAAAACTGTGCTTGCTTACAATATTGCTTCTCTGTAGCTACAGATTCTCTCCATTCCACTGGTCCCACTCAACTGGTTCTCTCTACCCACTGGGTCCTGCGCACTAGCTCCCACTACCACTTATAAAACAACTATTGTGAGGCTAAATATTAATTACATACTCTTTGGTCTATTAGCTCAGGCTTCTTATTAATAACTACGATATCTTCAATTAACCCATTTCTATTAATCTGGGAATTGTCACGAAGCTGTGACTTACTGGTAAGGTTCTGGAATCTTTTTCCTTTGGCAGACACATGGCGTTTGCTTGACTAGTCCTTCTTTCTTCCTTTATCTCTGCTTTGATTTCCTGCCTTGCTATAGTCTGCCCTGACACAGGGCAAATTAGCTTCTTTATTAACCAATGGTAATAAAAACATGTTCACAGCATACAGAGGGGAATCACATGTCACTTCTCTTTAAAAACTCCAGGACATGCCAGGCAGCAGTGGAGCATGCCTTTAATCCCAGCACTTGGGAGGCAGAGGCAGGAGGATTTCTGTGAGTTCAAGACCAGCCTGGTCTACAAGAGCTAGTTCCAGGACAGGCTCTCAAGCTACAGAGAAACCCTGTCTTGAAAAGCCAAAAAAAAAAAAAAAAAAAAAAAAAAAAAAAAAAAAAAAAAAAAAAAAAAAAAAAAAAAAAAAAATTCCAGGACACATTAAAATTTCTTCAAAAGCACATTTGTATCTGACTGAACATGAAAATTACCTTCCATATTGTATAGAAATTTGATCAAGTTCTTCAATACTATGGTCCTCCAATTTGTAGCCTAAAACATAATACCAAAAAATATATGAAACACTTCAAAAATTTAAGTTATTATCTTCAAGGAACCTTAGAACCATGACTGATTTTTCAACATCATTCTTCCTCTTTCTGAATCAAAATTATAATAGAGAATCAATTACGAAGAAAGTGTTGTCCCCTTATTTATTTTTAAAAATGAAGTAAAATTCAGTCTTACCTATAGCAGTGAGGTTCCTATAGGTCTCCAGCATCACTTCTTTGTAGAGATTCTTCTGTGAAGGATCCAGCAAAGTCCACTCATCCCAAGTGAAATTTATATGCACATCCTCATAGGTCACTCCATTCTAAAATATCCCGCATATGTGTTCAACAGTAAGCATCATACTGACAATACTATAAATGCATACTTCTTTGACAATATATTTATATAATTCTGGTGCTCCTCACACTTATTACATGACCACAGAAATTCTTTTTTTTTTAATTTATTAAAGATTTCTGTCTCTTCCCCACCGCCGTCTCCCAGACCCAGGCCAGCTGGCCTTGGTGAGTTCCCGATAGAACATCCCCATTGTCTCAGTGACCACAGAAATTCTAATGCAATCACAAAGTCATTTTAGAAAGAAATAAAACAATGAGATTCACCTCTGCCATTACTGCATATTTTGAATAGGATATAGTCTTGCAAGAGAAATGCCTATGAATAGACATAAAGGTTGTATTGGCTTATGCCTTTACTCCAGCATTTGTGAGACACCCGCAGGTGTATTTCTGCTGTGAAATAATCTTTTCGTACACTATAAATATGTATTGCTCTCATTGACTAATAAAGAGCTCGCTGGCCTATAGTTAAGTGGGAGGATAGATGAGAAAACCAGACTAAGTGGATGCTGTGGGGGCTAAGGAGGGTAGAGTCACAAATAAGAGTCACCAGAGACAAAGAGAGAATAGAAATTCAATATCAAGAAAAGGTAACAAGCCGCATGGCAAAGCACAGATTAGAAACATGGGTTATCCCATTCCCCTAAACTTTCTGGCCATTCAGCGGGGCCTTCCCCCTGGCTGCTGCCTTACTCTTCTTATCCCATCCCAATTTGCCCCCCAAGCACCCTTCTCCATCGGTGGGGTCATAGGATTCCCCAACTCAGCCTGATTCAGGGCTGAGGGACTGAGGACAAAGTGGTGAGGACAAATGCTGCAGGACTTTCTTTGTCCCACTGAGCCTGCAACCAACAATCGCGCCCTTTTGTCTGCGAGGTCCCTGGCCAGCAAGTGGCCCGGATCCTGTACCAGAAGATCCGTCCTTCCGGAGGACATTTAAAGGAAAAGATGGGCAGGCACCAATACAAGAATTCCTCCAACAATCTGAAAAACAATATGATAAATCCAGAATCCAGTGAACATACAACAGGAAGACTTGAACACCTTAATCCAGAAGATGTAGAAGAAATAGACTTTAAATGTAACATTATGAAAGTGATAGAGTCCCTTAAACAGGAAGTGAAAAACTCCCTTAAAGAAATGGATGAGAAGAATAACAAAAAGTTTGAAGAAATGAATAAATTTCTCAAAGATACCCCAGGAAAAGAAGAAAAAGCAATCAAATAGGTAATGGAAACAGTTCAAGACTTGAAAACTGAAATAGAGGTAATGAAGAAAACACAAACCGCCAAGGGACGGCTGGATATGGACAATCTAGGTAAACGATTAGGGACTACAGAGACAAGTATATCCAACAGAATACAAGACATAGGAAAAAGAGTCTCAAACACTGAAGATACTATAGGAGAAATAAACTCATTGATCAAAGAAAACAGCAAATCCAACAAATTCTTAACACAAAACATCTAGGAAATCTGGGACACCATGAAAAGACCAAACCTAAGAATAATAATAGGGGTAGAAGACAGAGAAGAATTAGAGCTCAAAGACCCAGAATATTAGAAGAACACTTTCCCAACCTAAATAAGGATATTCCTATGAAGGTACAAGAAGCATACAGAACACTGAATAGACTGAATCAAAAAAAAAATCCCCTCACCATATAATAATCAAAACACAAAACATAAAGAATAAAGAAAGAATATTAAGAGCTGCAAAGGAAAAAGGTCAAGTAACATACAAAGGTAAACCTATCAGAATTACACCTGACTTCTATGGAAACCATGAAAGACAGAGGGTCTTGGATAGATGTGCTGCAGAAACTAAGAGACCATGGATGCAAGCCCAGACTACTATACCCAGCCAAGCTTTCTTTCACCATCAAAAGAGAAAACAAGGTATTCCAGGATAAAAAAAAATTTAAACAATACGTAGCCACAATCCCAGCCTTACAGAAAGTAATAGAAGGAAAATCACAATCCAAACAACCCAAACAACAACCACAATAACTTAGACATCTAACAACCCTCCACAAGCACAACCCAAAGAAGGGAAACACACAAACTCTACCACAAAAAAAAAAAAAAAAAAAAAACAGAGTTAACAACCACTGATCATTAATATCATTTAATATCAATGGTCTCAATTCACCTATAAAATGGCACAGGTTAAGAGAATGGATGCGGGGCTGGAGAGATGGCTCAGCGGTTAAGAGCATTGCCTGCTCTTCCAAAGGTCCTGAGTTCAATTCCCAGCAACCACGTGGTGGGTCATAACCATCTGTAAGGAAGTCTGGTGCCCTCTTCTGGCCTGCAGGCATATATGCCAGATAGAATATTGTATACATAATAAATAAATATTTAAAAAAAAGAGAATGGATGCGAAAGCAGGATCCAACATTCTACTGTTTACAAGAAACACACCTCAACCACAAACAGACATTTACTCAGAGTAAAGGGTTAGGAAAGGGTTTTTCAATCAAACAGATGAAGGAAACAAGTGGGTGTGGCTATACTAATTTCTAACAAAATTGACTTCAAACTAAAATCAATCAGAAGAGATCGAGATGAACACTTTATACTTATAACAGGAACAATTCACCAGGATGAAGTCTCAATCCTGAATATCTATGCCCCTAATATAAAAGCACCCACATATGTAAAAGAAACATTATTTGAACTCAAAGAACACATCAAACCCCACACACTAATAGTAGGAGATTTCAACACTCCTCTCTTACCAATGGACAGGTCAAACAGACAGAAACCTAACAGAGAAATAAGAGAATTAATAGAGGTAATGAATCAAATGGACTTAACAGACATCTAGAACATTCCACCCAAATAGAAAAGAATATACCTTCTTCTCAGCATCTCATGGAACCTTCTCAAAAACTGATCACATACTTGGTAACAAAACAAACTTCCACAGATACAAAAATATTTTCATAACCACCTGTGATTCGTATCGGATCACTATGGAATAAAGATAGAATTTAACAACAATTCTACCCACAGAAAGCCTACAAACTCATGGACACTGAATAGTCAACTACTGAACCACCCCTGGGTCAAGGAAGAAATAAAGAAATTACAGTCTTCCTTGAATTCAACGAAAATAAAGACACAACATACTCAAACATATGGGATACCATGAAAGCAGTGCTAAGAGGAAAGTTCATAGCACTAAGTGCCCACATTAAAAAAAAATGGAGAAAGCTCACATTAGAGACTTAACAGAACAGCTGAAAGCTCTAGAAAAAAAGAAGCAGACTCACCCAGGAGGAGTAAAAGACTGAAAATAATCAAACTGAGGGCTGAAATCAACAAAAGAGAAACACAGAAAACAATCCAAAGAATCAATGAAACAAAGAGCTGGTTCTTTGAGAAAAATCAACAAGATTGACAAGCCCCTATCTAGACTAATCAAAAAGAAAAGAGAGAAAACACTCAAATGAACAAGATCAGAAATGAAAAGGGGGACATAACAACAGACACTGAAGAAGTTCAGAGAACCATTAGGTCTTACTACAAAGGCCAATATGCCACAAAGTTGGAAAATGTAAAAGAAATGGACTTGTTTTTAGATAAGTCCCATTTACCAAAATTAAATCAAGACCAGGTAAACAATTTAAATAGACCTATAAGTCATGAGGAAATAGAAGCTGTCATAAAAAACCTCCCAAAAAAAAAAAAAGACAAAAAAACAACAACAACAAAAAAAAAAAAAAAAAAC